AAAAAGAGACGAATAGCGTGGTTTAGTCCATCACTTTTCTGGGTTTTAATTTTTTTTAAAACCCAGAAAAGCGACGGACAACATGGTTTAGTCCGTCGCTTTTCTGGGATTTTCAAAAATAAAATTTCCAGAAAAGCGACGGGCTGCGTCGCTTTTTAGAAATAAAAAAAATTTAAAATTAAAATAAAGCAACAGAGTCCGTCGCTTTTGTTAAAAAATTAAAAAAAAAATAGTAGTAAAAAAGCGACGCAGTCCGTCGCTTTTTGAAAAGCGTCGGGTTAAAAAGCGACGGAGGTGACTGCATTGCTTTTGACCAAAAAAGCGACGCAGTCCGTTGCTTTTGGCCATCGTTTTTTGATAATTTTTTATTCGTGAAAAATAACTTTCAAATGAAAATCGTAGACGAACTATAAAGTAATAATGAATCTATTAGATAAAAACTTACCAAATATCTCCATCAACTCGTGGAATTAAATAGAAAGAGAACTTTAATATCATCATCATCGTTGGTAATTACTCTAATTTAATTTCAGCATGTGATACAGAATTCTCTGAATATGAAAAAAGATTTAAAAACTACCACAATGTAATTGGAATGAACTCAAAGACCACTATATATAGTTAGATTAAAAGTTGAGTGGTCAAGTAGAGAGTTGGAAAGGACAAAAATAAATAGCAAATTAGATATAATTTATAATTATAATGGTACTAGTTTTTTGACATGTGTGTTGCACGTGATTACCAATTCAAAAAATATATGTTATAGTAAATAGTATTGTTTATTTAAGCGAAGATTTGAATAATAAGTTTAGCAAAAAATAATATTGTAGATATTTTTATGAATGTTCAATTTGGATCTCCATATATATCTCTTATTCACGCAAACCTATGAAGATGATCAATGAAATATTTTATTAGTTAAATGCAATAATGTATATATTTATTTCAATTTGATGAGGTTCAATCATGTAATTAGTATTATCTCACTAATATTACCTTATAGGCAATATTTGTTTTGTATTTTTCTTGTCATCTAACCAGATGTGATTTGCATGTATATTCTACGTTAAATTGTTTAGATGTCATATGAAAATGTGGAGAACAACTAAATTTTATATATTCACATATTTTCACATTTGTTGTGAGTTTTTTATTTTAAAAAAAGAACTCGAAACATTTTAAAATAATATATTTTGAAGTTAGAAGATCTTGTTAACTTGATAATACATTTGTGACATATATAATACTTTAATTTAAATACTAATATCTACCCAAATATAAATATATATTCATTAATGAAAATATTTATCTCATAAAATTTTCTATTAAATAAATTATAAAAATTAAACTAATAGTAAGAAATAGTAAATAAGTAAAACAAAATGGCAATGTTCACATAAGTAACATTGATAAATAAAGTCATTCTTTTGTCTTGAGCATCAACAACAAATCGTGATAATTTTCTAAATTTTGAAAAAAGATATTCAGAAGCATATATCTACATCACAAGAGAATTGTTAACAAAACAAATGAATTTAGATTACATCATGTTTACTTCATATATTGGAACATTACATACAAATTTATAAATTAAGCAAAAAATAATTATTATATCATCAAAATTATTTTTCTCAAGTATTCGAGGTTATGGAATATACCCTCTTAGGATACAACAACTTACTTCTTCGAAATAGTGGTACCTCATATTCGAACCCACTCAACAACAATAAATCACACCAAAAAATTTAAAATGCAAGAAAGAAGAAGAGTAGAAGATTAAAAAAAATTGTGGTTGAAAAATGAGAGGAAGTCCCTCTATTTATAATCAATAAAGGGTAGTATAAACAAATATTTTTTGTGTCTTATCTGAAAAGTCATGACTTTTCCGAGAAATCACAACTTATTGAAAAACTCACAACTCTTTGGAAAAGTCACAAGTTATTGAAAAAGTCACAACTCTTTGGAAAAGTCACAACTCATCGAAAAATCACAATCCTTTGAAAAGAGTCACAACATATCGGAAACGTTACAACTCATCAAAAAGTCACAACCTAAGTTAGGGATATATATATATATATATATATATATATATATATATATATATATATATATGACGTTATTACAAGTAATTTGAGTTTTTCTTCGTCTAAAATACTGAAATATTAAGACATAGTATATAAGTAAAACAAAAGGGCAATGTTTATATAGTAGTAACTATTCTGAAGCAAACTTCCTAACATTCTAAATCACATAAGTAGAATTGATAACTAAAGTCATTCTTTTGTGTTGGGCATCAAAAAAACAAATTATGACAATTCTCTAGGTCTTGAGAAGTTTAATAATTTTGGTAAAAGATGTTTAAAAGCATATATTTACATCACAAGATAAATTGTTAACAAAAACAAATAAATTTAGACTTCATTATGTTAACTTCATGTATTGGAATAGTACATATACTAATGTATATATTAAGCAAAAAAATAATTATTATATCATAAAAATTATTTTCCTCAAGTATTCGAGGTTATGGAATATACCATCTTAGGATAAAACGATTTACTTCATCAGAATAGTGGTACCTCATATTGCTAAACTTTGAACTCACTCAACAACAATAAATCACACGAAATAATTTAAAATGCAAGAAGAAGAATAGTAGAAGATTAAAAAAATTGTGGTGAAAAATTAGAGGAAGTCCCTCTATTTATAGTCAACAAAAGGTAGTATGAGCAAGTGTTTTTGTGTCTTATCAGAAAAGTCTTTTCGAGAAGTCACAACCCTTTGGAAAAGTCATAACTTATTGAAAAAGTCACAACTCTTCGGAAAAGTCACAACTTATTGTAAAAGTCACAACTCATCGAAAAATTACAACCCTTCAATAAAAGTCACAACTTATCGGAAAAGTCACAATTCATCAAAAAGGAAAGAACCTAAGTTAGGAATATTATAGTAATTTAACATTCAAGTTAGGAGTTCGTGTTTTTAAGGTAATATAGATATAGATATGTACTTGAGATCTCATTGAATTTGTGAAGAAAAATGAGGAGGGGGGCCAGGGAGGAGTTACCAGAGAAACCGTTTTTTATTTATTCAATGCTAAGCTTCCTTACCAGCTTTATTCTATATCTTTTCTTCTTTGAGTCATTAAAGTTGTTTACTCTATCCAATTAAATTGAATCTCTTCCTCTCCTTATTTAAGATATAATTATTGTATATAGTGAAAGATGTAATTCAATTCCAAAATCTCCTCCTCTTCCCTTATTTAAGGCTCATAAATCATACTGTAATCATTTTGATTACGAAAATCATTTCGAAAATTGAGATTTTATTGAAATACGGATGAAAGTTAAAAAAATTGGGAAAAAAGAAAATAAAAATATATATAGATGCTGAGCTTTGGAGGTGTGAAATCACCATTTTCATTTTCCAACTAGATTTTCTAAACTAAATTTCGAGTAAAATTAGAATTGCACGGTTAGTAATTTTTTTTTCTAAAACAAATAAATAGAATCAAGTTGAAGCAAAGAGATCTAGAGCCGTTAATTAGTTTTTAATGAAATGATAATGATGAGAAAAGTTTTTGGGTATAAATGAATTAATGATGTGACAAACTATATTTATAATTTTTTAGTTTATAAAGAGTAAAAATACACTTACCAGTTTCATTATTATTATTATTATTATTATTATTATTATATGATTACTATTTAATGTTTATATATATTAATCTAAGAAAATTCAAAAGTCATTACTGTTTTAATTTAACTTATTATAACATTTTAATTTATAGGATGGTGAAATCGCAATTCAACTTTTGACTTGAGTTCTTTCCACTTGTAATATAACTAGTATCTATCCCTTATTATTTTTATTTAAAAAAATTATATTTATAAAGTTCAATTATAAAATAAGAAATGCAGAAATTAACAATTTTAATTTTGATTTAGTCTCTAATGATATGGATATGTCGATGAATAGCTATTTTTTTTCCAGATCAAACAACTCAGTTATTGAAGTAGTTTACAATGAATTTCTACTCGAAAAAATAATAAATACATGTAAAAGTCTTTGCCAAAAGTAGCAAAGACATGAAGAAGAAATAAATTTAATTCTAGTTATTGCTGAAATCACAAATATAAATAATATTTTTCATTTTTTTGGTGCTTATATGAATTGCATTCTTCTTTTTTTTATATACAGAACTATTCTTTAAATGAAAAAGGGAAAAAAATTAACGAACATTATTCTCGGTGGTTAGTATTTTCGAATATCTTTTGACCACTCTATTTGATCTTTGTTTCCATAAGATGCAAATTAATTATATGAACCAAAAGATTAACTTAAGAAATTGGGATAAATAGTTCTAATTTAAAGATAATTATTCTTTTTTCATATCAAGCACTGTACCGCTAAACATACTAAGATTGAGGCTTAAACCACACATACATATATAAAAACAAAAGATATACCTAGAAACAAAAGAATCTCTAGCAGAATGAAAATGACTGGAAGATGAGAGAAAGAAAACTTATTGTATACCTTTATAGAGTTTTGTAATGTAAAGAATATGAAAGGGTTGTGGGAGAAAATTATTAATGAAGAAAATTATATAAACATTGATCAACAATAACTATGAAAAATATGATTAGAAACGTTTTTGGATTGTAATCAACGAGATTATGACTGTCCATCTTCAATCTTTAAGTATTGAATTTAGTGTGAAGCATTAAGTGCTGTTGGAATGAGTTTAACTTGAGAAACTAAAAGGATCAATAATTAAAGCTCAACAAAAAATAGAATTTTTTTTAGCATTTTCTAATTTAAAAAATTAGTGAAGGGCATTTTAGTAATCCAACTTTGAACTCAAACCCTTCCCACTTTTAATATAATATATATATGATATATGATATATATGATGAAATATCTATATGGTTCTTGTACAAAGAACATGCCGAGGGGCTACTACGCTCACCACGCACTTACATTACCACCTTAACTTCTTATTTATGCCTCAAACTCCTGAGCAAAATTCTTGATCCTGCCGCTGATGATGAGGTATGATGAAACAACGAATTATAGATCGAATCATTGCTCGAACCGTATTCTGTATCTAATTGCTGTTGAAATGTTGGCAGCTGTGTAAGACTCTTGCAATCTAATAAGTTCAAGGACTGAAGAGAACCAAGTTGGGTCATGCTTTGAGGCAAATGCTCAAAATTATTTCCCCTCAGATTCAACTTTTTCAAAGAGGATAAGGATCCAATGTTATCCAGAAGTCCTCCATCTATTATATTGCAGTAGCTGAGATTCAACTCTTTCAAAGAGGATAAGGATCCAATGTCTTCTGGTAGCTGTGTAAGTCTCTTGCAATCTGATAAGTTCAAGTATTCAAGAGCACCAAGCTGGGCTATGCTACGAGGCAAATACTCAAAATTATTTCCACTGAGATTCAACTCTTTCAAAGAGGATAAGGATCCAATGTCTTCCGGAAGTCCTCCATCTTTTAAATTGCAGTAACTGAGATCCAGTTTTTCCAATGAGCATAACCCTTCACTCACTGGAGGGAACACGAAGTTCACTCCATATTCTGATTTATCTTTTTCAAAAGTCAATGATTTAAGCTTGTTCAAGCGGACGATGGAAGACGGAGGTTTTGAGATTAGAGTATATCTAGCCTCAAGTATCTCCAAGTTTTCTAAATCACCTATCTCTTTTGGCAACCTACTGAGTTTTGAGCAGTAGGACACTTTTAGCATCACCAAATGTTTCAACGTGCCAATGCTGCATGAAAGTTCTGCAAGGTTTTTCATGCCACTCAAATCTAGCTCTGTAAGACTAGATTGGTGCTTAAACATATCTGATGGTAGTCTACTTAACCCAGAGCATTGCACATGAATCCTTTTCTCCCGCTTCCCTTTTTTCTTGATCCTTGGAAATTTCTCTAACCTAGAGCAACCTTGTATATATAGATATTCAAGAGATTCCCCGCTGACACATTCAAATGTCACAAGCCTTTTACAATCTCTCAAATTTAACTTCCTGAGTTTTTTGGAATTTTCTAGGGAATGGTGAACCTTCGTAAGTTTACTACACCCTTCCAGACTCAAATACACTAACTTTGGCATATTCGTGAAATCTGGTGTTTCCTCGAGGTTTTCACAGCCGCTGAGATCTAGCCTCCGTAGGAAAGGAAATTTCTGCCATTCAGAACAGAAAAGGAATGAGATAGGAAAACAAGAAATGTCAGGTGAAAGAATTATCATAAAATTAAGGTAGATTTTGATTTGACATTCTAAAATTAAGGTAGATTTTTGATTTGGCTAGTTAAAGAATGAAACTCAAAAAATTGGGATACTTTAGGCGTGTTTTTACCATTAACTCATCAACAAAAGGTGTATGAATGGACTAGTTAAGATGTCTATCCGAAAGTTATCGTCAACTTGGATGTACTAGATCTGGGTACGTGCATTGCACGTTTATCCCAAAATTTGTATTGCAAATGACATTTTATCCCCTTCAAATCTTTGATATTTACGGGGAAAAAATCATCATTGTTTCGAAAGGAACTACATATATCTTCCTAATAAAAAGAATATACCTTTAACTAAAAAATTGACTAAAAGTGCATTAAAGTAAAAATAACTAACTATTGCAAAAATTCAATATTCAAATGAGGATACTAAAATACCACATGCTAGACTAATGTATACAAAACAACAAACCACGGTAAATTCTCAATAATAATAACAGCACAACAACAGAAAGTTGTACAATAACAACAAATAAAAAACATAAATATTAAACTAAACAGATAAAAAGAGACAAGAGAAGAGAGCATAGAGATTTTCTGATTTTTTTTCCAATTGGTTTAAGTGTACATGTTATTGTGTCAAATATCACTATTTATAGGATAGCATTGAGAAACACAAAGAGTTGTTATAAATATGATATTAATCCATTTAAAATTATCGATGAGAGATGAGAGTTAAAAACATAATGAATAGTGAGAATTAAATACATTTACTTAATGAAGAGATAGTGGTAATTTATGAATACCAATGTGATGATTTACTATTTACTATTTAATATTTAATTTATTACATAATTTATAACATTTAAATGTAATGTAGAAATAAAACTATAATCATAAAATATGTAAAAGAATTCAAATATATTAAATGTTTAATGGAAAATCATTTTGACTAATTATTAAAGATTTTATAGTAACTATGATTATGAAAAATCATCATTATTATTACTACATGGAAAATGTAAAGATTGTTGATTTTTTCTTGCTAATAATAACTTACAATTTAATAATAAGTATTAAATTGTAAGTCTAGCTGGAAATAGGAGTGTTAATTACCACAATACGAACAATCAAAATTCATTGAATCCCAAAATAAATATTAAATGAAAAAAAAAAATTAAATAATTTAAAGAAAATAAATTACCCCCACTTATCTTACAGATTAAGATTGAAGGTTATTAGACTCTTCATTACCCACATTTAATTAGCACGTGAATATATGATTGCATTAAGATCTTGTTTGATGCATTAATTTAAATATAATTATTACTTAATATTTAATTAATTAAATAGATAGATATTACTATTTAATTCATTTTAGGGATAAGATAAGGACAAAATGGTAATCCAACTTTAAGGTTAGGAGGACAAAATGGTAATCCAACTTTAGAGTTAGGAGCTTTCCACTTATAATAATATATTAGATCTGGGAACGTGCGTTGCACGTTTTTCCCAAAATACTTCATATAAATTTTGTATTGCAAATGACATATTTTATCCCCTTCAAATCTTTCGTATCTATGGGGAAAAACTCCATTATTTCGATAGGAACTAAAATTTTTTTTAATAAAAAAGTGGGTCAAGCCCATTTATTCAAAATGAAAATGAAACAACACATTCGAAAGGAACTACATATAGAGTCCTAATAAAAAGATTATACCTTTAACTATTAAATTGACCAAAAGTGCATAAAGTAGAAATAACTAACTATCGCACATCTAGGCTAATATATACAAAACGACAAACCATGGTAAATTCTCAATAATAATAACAACACAACAATAAAAAGTTGTACAATAACAACAAACAAGAAACATAAATGTTAAACTAACAAAATAAAAAGAGACAAGAAGAAAAGAGAGCATAGAGATTTTCTCTTGTTTTTTTTTTTCCAATTCGTTTAAACGTGTACATTAGTGTCAAATGTCACTATTTATAGGATAGCATAGAGGAACACAAAGAGTTGTCATAAATATGATATTAATCCATTTGAGATTATCGTTGAGAGATGAGAGTAAAAAACATAATGAATATAATTAGTGGGAGTTAAATACATTTACATAATGAAGAGTTAGTGGTAATTTATGTATACTAATATCATGATTTACTATTTAATATTTAATATTTAATTTATTAAACAATTTATAACATTTAAATGTAATATAGAAAAAAACTGTAATTTAAGGATAAAAAATATGTAAAAGAATTCAAATATATTAAATGTGTAATGGAAAATCATTATGACTAATTATTAAAAAATTCATAGTAACTATGATTATGAAAAATCACCACTATTACTACGTGGAAGATGTAAAGATTGATGGTTTTTTCTTGCTAATAATAATATGTATTGAATTGTAAGTCTACCTGAAAATAGGAGTGTTAATTACAACAGTCAAAATTCATTGAATCCAAAAATAAATATTAAATGAAAAAATAATATTTTAAATAATTTCAAGAAAATAAATCAATAGTTAAAGGGTATTAGCAGTGTTAATTACCATAATATGATCAATCAAATTTCATTAAATCTCAAAATAAATATTAAATGAAAAAAATATTTTAAATAATTTCAAGAAAATAAATTAATAGTTAAAGGGTAACAATCAAAATTCATTGAATCCCAAAATAAATATTAAATGAAAAAATAATATTTTAAATAATTTCAAGAAAATAAATTAATAGTTAAAGGGTATTAGGAGTGTTAATTAGAACAATACGAACAATCAAAAGAATACCCCTTTTAACTATAAAATGACTAAAAGTGCATAAAGTAAAAATAACTAACTATTGCACAAATTCAATATTCAAATGAGGATACTAAAATACCACATGCTAGGCTAATGTATACAAAGCAACAAACCATGGTAAGTTCTCAATAATAATAACAACACAACAATAGAAAGTTGTATAATAACAACAAACAAAAAACATAAATATTAAACTAAACAAATAAAAAAAGACAAGAAAAGAAAGCATAGAGATTTTCTCATGTTTTTTTCCAATTGGTTCAAGTGTGTACATTATTGTGTCAAATGTCACTATTTATATGATAGCATTGAGAAACACAAAGAGTTGTCATAAATATGATATTAATCCATTTGAGATTATTGATGAGAGATGAGAGCTAAAAACATAATGAATATAATTAGTGAGAATTAAATACATTTACATAATGAAGAGTTAGTGGTAATTTATGTATACTAATGTAGTGATTTACTATTTAATATTTAATTTATTAAATAATTTATAACATTTAAATGTAATGTAGAAATAAAACTATAATCTAAGGATAAAATAAGTAAAATAATTCAAATACATTAAATGTTTAATGGAAAATCATTTTGACTAATTATTACAAAACTCATAGTAACTATGATTATGAAAAATCATCACTATTACTACGTGGAAGATGTAAAGATTGTTGGTTTTTTCTTGCTAATAATAACTTAGGGGCCGTTTGGTTACTAGTTAGAGTTATGCATGTATTAGTTATGTAGGGTTTAGTTATGCAGGTATTAGTTATGCATGGTTTAGTTATGCAGGGTTTAGTTATGCAGGGTTTAATTATGTAGGTATTAGTTATGCAGGTATTAGTTATGTGGAGTTATGCAGGGTTTAGTTATGCATATATTATTTAATTATGTAGAGATCACAATGCATAAATTATTAACTAATAAATATTGAATTTGTTGTAAATTAATATATATTACTTACAAATAAATAAGTAAGCAAATAGTATAAATTCTCCCTCTTTTTGAATAAAAAGTAAAGAAAAAAAATTCTCCCTCTATACTAAATTGGGACTGCTATTTTTTCATTTTGTTATTTTTTTATGTTTATAACTTATAAAAATAAAATGCGATTAATATATTTCAAGAACATTACAATATCCTATTTTATATAATGTAAATATTCTATCAATATGTTGTATATATTGTTTATATAGTTTTAATATACCAAATATATGAATTATGTATAAATTCACATCCTAAACAAAATAAAAATACATGTTAATTACAGAAGTGGAAAATATTTAATAATATATAACGCTATATACAATTCAATTTGTAATATTAATAAAATATTACATTTGGATTTCAAATAAAAACAGAAAAAAAAAAGTTGTTCGTGTATTAAAAAGAAGTTAGGAAAATAGCATAGTTGGATAACATTTTCAATGAAAATAATTAAAAATAAATTAATAAGGGTAAATGTGTAATTTACTATTTTAATACATGTATAACTAATACCTGCATAACTTATTCCACCTTCTACCCTGCATAACTTATACATAGATTTCCTCATAATTTATGTTGGTATTAATTAGGCATAATACATAAAGAGGACCTTTAACTTGACATCAATTTACAACTATGACCCTAAACTTTACCAGTGCATAAGTAGGCACTTTAACTATCACAAATTTAAACAATTAAACACTCGTCTATCCCGGACAAAGCGCGTGATATGCAAATACTTCTACGTGGCTGCCAACTAATTAAAATAAATACACGGGGATTTTTCAATTGAAAAACTAAAACTAAAAATAAAATAAATATCAATTAACAACTCTGACCCTATGCTTAGAACAAAGAACAACATTTTCCTCTTTCTTTTCTACAGAATCCTAACCCTAAGTTCCTACATTTCATCCTTCGAATCAAAGGTAAATTGTTCAAGAAATTGTGAAGAAAGAGAGGAAAATGGCAAAAAGTTGTTGAAGAAATTAGAAAAAAGAGAGTAAAGTGAGATTTTGATTTTAAAAAGGGAAATATATATATATATATATATATATATATATATATGAAAGAGACTCATTAAGGGTAGAAGTGTCATTTAAGCATTTTTTTACTGTTGGGGGCCTTTATTTTTACCACTGACGCGCCTAATTGAAGTGTGATTCATGCACTTTGCCATGTAGGATTAGAGTGTTTAATTGTTAAATTTTTGGATAGTTGAACTGCCTACTTGTGCACTAGCAAAGTTTAAGGTCATAGTTGTAAATTGATGCCAAGTTAAAGGTCCTTTTTATGTATTATTGTAGGACTACAAAAAAACACAACCAAACATTGTATAAAATTAATACATTAATAACTTTTATACAACATTTAGAATTCTACCAACCAAACATGGTATAAGTTATGTTGACTTTTCCACCTAATACAAAATTTCTACCAAACATGGTAAAAGTAATGCAACCTTTTATACATGGATAAAATACAACTTATACAGTAACCAAACGGCCCCTTACAATTTAATAATAAGTATTGAATTGTAAGTCTAGCTGGAAATAAGAGTGTTAATTACCACAATACGAACAGTCAAAATTCATTGAATCCCAAAATAAATATTAAATGAAAAAAATAATATTTTAAATAATTTGAAGAAAATAAATTAATAGTTACCCCCACTTATCTTACAAATTAAGATTGAAGGTTATTAGACTCTGCATTACCCAGATTTAATTAGTATGTGAATATATGATTGCATTAAAATCTTTTGATGCATGAATTTAAATATAACTATTACTCACTATTCAATATTTAATTAATTAAATAGATATTAATATTTAATTTATTTTAGGGATAAGATAAGGACAAAATGGTAATCCAACTTTGAGGTTAGGAGTATGATATGATGATGATTTGATCAAAAGAAAAATAAAATTGAATTCAGCTATAGTACCTTTGTTCCAGTCCATAAATGAAGCAGTGAACTCTGCTGGAGACCAAGATGAACAAGCTCGTCAGGATCAAATTTTGCTGGCAATGATTTCCAAGGATATTTACAACAGTCAAACCAACGCAAGTTGCTGGGAAGGTACTGATCATTGGAACCATCATGTGTATGAAAACCATTGATGTATAATATCCTAAGCTTTTCCACATCTTTCATGGCCTTTTCGCTAAAGCTTATTAGGTCTTGAATTTCTGGTATCCAGATTGCTTCGATTGCCTTGGTCCCCTGGTAAAAGAATCATTAGTCTACAAAGTATAACTTCAAATATCTGCATAAATAAAATCCGCACTCAGTATGACTACTTTCTCGCAATGCCAAATTTCTCATGTTCCGTTTATTTACTATTGCACTTGAAGTTCTTGAATAACTCGTGCCACTAGAAAAATCAAGGTATAGTATTAGTTAGGTCTTTCTCAAGAAATATGTAACTTAAGAGAAATACTTTGAGCAATTAATTTTGTAATTCTATTTTGTAGTAGTACATTTTCTTGAGAAGTTCTTTACAGTCGAATCGAAAAGTTTTTCATGTTGTGATAGAAGGAAATTGTAATTTAAACAACACCAGTAATTGTCATCTTTAAAATAAAAAGTAATTGATGATCAAGTGCCTAACAGATCGAGGATCGGTAAGGTCAGTTTTGGCCCCACTTACTTGTATTTTTGCTTTTGAGAATTTTTCGAAATCTTGAGTGCGCCATAGTCTGCTGAGTTCTCCCCTTTCCTTTTGCATTGTCACTATGTATTTTCCCATCTCTTGTATTAAGTCATGCATTTGAATCATATCATCTTCAGAGATGAACACAAGAGACTTGTCAATTAGCACCCTCAATCCGGCCTCAGCTCCAAAACCACAGCTCTCAAGAATTTGCTTGATTTCGGTTTGTTTTTTCCCTCTTAAGAAGCATGCAATATCTAGAAATATCTTTTGATCTTCACGCTCCAACCCATCATAACTTACTTTGAGGCTTTCAACAACTTTTGAACTAGAGTTCCTCTTTATTCGATCAACAACACTTCTCCACTCATGTATATCCTTCTCATGTAAGGAAGAACCCCACACTTCCAGGGCTAAAGGAAGGCCTTGAGCCTGACGTACTACCTCCAACGTCATCTCCTCGAAACACTCATCTGGAACTTTATCTTTGAAGGCAAATTGGTTGAACAACTTAATTGCATCATGTTCAAATAGTGTAGTCATACGATATACGGCATCATTTTTCCATATGAAATGCTTGTCTCTTGTTGTTGCAATAATTCTGCTGCCTTTGCCAAACCAACCAAGATCCCCTGCAAGGTATTTCAGTTGGTCGTCATGATCTATGTTATCTAGCACAACTAGAACTTTCTTCAACTGAAGTCTACAACTCATCCGGTGCTTCCCGTCCTCCTTATCAAGCACACAATTTTCTTTTCCCCCTACCAGTTTAGAGAGAAGAATACTTTGAAGAGAATGTATTTCATTACTGACGGGAAGGAAACAAGCACCATCAAATTTAAATCTAGATGAGAGTAAATCAAAAATAGCTCTTGCTATTCTCGTTTTACCAACTCCCACCATTCCCCAGATCCACACCCTCCGGACATCATTGCTTGTCATATCTAGAAGGTAGTTGACTTCCTCTAAATGAGCATCTATTCCCACAATATCTGTCAAATAAGATAAAGAAGTCGTGCATAATTTGGGCGAAATTTCATTAACAAGATCCTCAATACAGTGTGCTTCATTCCTACAAAAAATAACAACATTATTGATATATACAGATAAGAGAGACGAGGATGAGTAGAATTTCACATCCAAACTTACTTATCACGGATATCACGTCCTTTTATATTTGCAGCAGCAGTTAAAGCAGATCTCCATCCTTCGACCTTCTTCATTCCTTCTACATCATCCTTATACCTCGATTCGTGTTTGGCAAAGGCTTCTGCAAAGCTCTCACTTTGGTATCGAACATGTGATGGATCCACATCATAGAAGACTGGTATGACTAATTGTTTTTTTTCTTCCTTGCATTCCATAATCTTCACTAGTTCATCCAAGCACCACCTCGACGTAGCATAATTTTTTGAGAAAATGATTACAGCAACTTGAGACTCTTCCATAGCTTTCACTAGTTCTATCCAGATGGGTCCACCACTCTCTAGACTTTCATCATCTAGAAAGGTGGATATTCCCCTGTTTTCCAAAGCTTTGTGCAAGTGACTTGTAAAATTATTGCGAGTATCTAAGCCTCTAAAACTTAGAAAGACATCGTACTTGCACTTCTGTTGGGAACATGAATACTGTGAATTACTCTCATCAGAAGAAGAAGATGATGATGCCATCAATTCTTGGAAGGTAATGGGGGTGGAATTCTTGTCTGGCAATGGAGATCAAAAGAGAAAAAACATGTTATTGTTGACCAATGATTGGGTTTTTAGAGAGTAAATATGAACAATTCATTATATTTTGGAGAGATGACATACAGGAGTGGGGAGGAGCCAAAAACATTGAATTGAATTAAATTATTGCTATTGGACTAGTCAACTGGTAAGTATTTCCACATACTAGCGGTAATACAGAATGAACTTTCTGTCCTTAAAAAAAAAAAAAACTTTCTGTGAAGCTTCCCAACTGTGTGCATGTTAGTTGAAACGATCAATCCAAACACCCACTTAATTCAACTATATTTAGATTCATTTACTAGCGGTTTGAATATTGATTTAGGGTTAAAACGAAGTGAACAAGATAAATAAAATGCAGGAGTATAGATCTGAATGTTTGCTAGTGTATCCGGGACCCCTTAACCAGATTGTAAAGTTTCTGTGAAGATGGGGTCTACTCCAATTGAATTAGTCAACTTGTATCAATGCTGTAAAGTGGTAAGTAGTAGGAAATTTCTGTGATAGAATTAGACCTACCTACCCTAAAGTGGCTCCATAATTGATGATATTTTGTAATGTTTTTATGAAGATGGGGTCTACTAGTCAACTTGTATAAATGCTGTAAAGAGGTAAGTAGTAGGAAATTTCTGTGATAGAATTAGACCTACCTACCCTAAAGTGGCTCCATACTCTACAGAAAACTGTACACAATGTACAACTAAAAGTACAAGCTGATGAAGAAGCAAAGAGAAAGAAGGGTAATTTCTTTGTCACCGACAGCTCAGCTAGACTTCACTCGTGTTCTTCTTGTTTGACAACTGTTTTTTTTTGGGTAGAAAAGATGATATATTAAACACACTAGCTATTACACGGAGTGGCTACATAGCAGGGTTGAACATTTTTTATTGCATAGTAGCATTAGATAAAGCAGTGGGAGTAAAATAAGCAGCATGAGCACTAGGAGGATTATTTACAGCCCCAGAAGGGTGGAAAAACTACGCTGACTATTACAAAGGTGCTTTAAACGCGGGTAAACAGTGCCTGCTTTGTCAGCCCAATGCATTGGTAATGCAATCTGGAGTTTGGTCGAAAACTTGCCGTGAAAACCCTGATGGTTGTGGAGATTGCAAAAAATATACCTCCAATACTTTTATTTTATTTTTTGGTTGTTCCCTTGACACTGGATTGGATTGACCAGTTTCAGTGTTTAGTTCCTATCCACCAACTATTTCTACCACATGTAGATTTGATTTGATAGTGGATCGATGTCAATAAACTCTACGCTTGCTTGATAGTGTCAGGGTATTTGAGCTCTGCATCCAAAGGAAGAATAGTTGCTCAACCACCAAGCTACATTCGATTCCTGGAAATAGTTTCCGTTTGCTTTGTGATGTGAGGCGACTTACTGATAGTTCCATGGCTTCTTTCATCCACCCGTTTTGGTGAAGTTTTCTTGCTTCTCACACATTCATCTGCAATAGGATTTTGGACAGGCTACTCATCAGTAAATGTGAAGGTGTGATTTTAGTTCATAATTAAATGCAGCATTCTGGTCTACGAGAGGTGTGGTGTGACCATTAATAATCAACAACAACATACCCAGTGAATCCCACAAGTGGGGTCTAGGAGGGTAATGTGTACGCAGGCCTTACCACAAGTTCACAACCCTGTGAGGATAGAGAGGCTGTTTCCAAAAGACCCTCAGCTCAAGTGCAATAAATCCAAGTAAAAGAAGAAGACATGACCTTTAATAATAATACCAGGATATAAAGATTTCGTGAATCTCTTTCTCAGGCCCAGACACTAGTTGTTCTGTTACAAACAGAGGAAGCATGTGCTCTTCATAGGCCGTGTCACCGGTGTTGTTCTCTAAGTAATCCAAGACACTAGTTGTTCTGTAACAAACAGAGGAAATATGTGCCCCTTCATAGGCAATGTTACCGGTGTTGTTCTCAAAGCAATCATGGTCCCACTTTGCACTGCAAACGTGAACCAAAACCAAAAGAGTGAAACTTGTCAAAACTACTTATAAGTAATCAAAACATAGATGCTACTTATTACTTTTATAGAGATCAAAGTTAACAAGCCAGACAACAGACAATTGGTGCATTCAATCTTGGCTTAATAAGAGATGGAAGGTCATATAGCCATTAACTCTATCACAGCTATAATTCTCAAATTTATCTGATGTTTTGGCAAATGGTAACATATTTTGTCTGTTGTAATTAAAAGTTAACACAAAGACTAGGTTTCTTATGTTTCACATTTTCCTTCAAAAGAAGCATAAGAAAACTGAAGGAGATCATGAGCAAGGTCGAACCTCAGCTGCATCTCTTGCTCCACCGTCTCACATTGTGCTGCATCTTTGATTGAACCTCCCTGCTATAACAAGAGATATATTTATATTTAAAACAGAGATTTCTGCTAATATAACTGTTATACCTGTACTCAAATTATATACTGGAACACTTTGTCAAAAAAAAATTATATACTGGAACAAAATAACAACATATTAATGAATCGGCGGTAGTAGCTAGCTAAACCAACAAAGCTCCTTACCTCTGAAACATTAGTAGGCCTTACCCAACTCTTCACTGCTTCAATCTTAGAGGGATCCACCATCACTCCATCCTTAGAAACCACGTGCCCCAAGAAGGACACTGAATCGAGCCAAAACTCACACTTGGAGAATTTGGCATAAAGCTTTTTCTCCCTCAACAACCCCAATACAATTCTCAAATGCTCCTCGTGTTCCCTCCTGCTCTTCGAGTATATCAGGATATCATCAATGAATACAATAACAAAGAGGTCTAAATATGGCTTAAAAATTCCGTTCATTAGGCTCATGAAAGCAGCAGGGGCATTCGTAAGCCCAACGGACATTACTAAGAATTCATAATGCCCATACCTGGTTCGAAAAGCAGTCTTTGGCACGTCCGTTGCCCGCATTTTCAATTGATGATAACCGGACCTCAAATCAATTTTAGAGAAGACGCAAGCACCCTGTAACTGATCGAACAAGTCATCAATGCGAGGAATGGGGTACTTGTTCTTAATAGTTACCTTATTCAACTGCCTGTAGTCTATGCACATCCGAAAACTACCATCTTTCTTCTTCACAAATAAAACTGGAGCACCCCAAGGAGATGTACTCGGTCTAATAAAACCTTTACCTAACTATTCCTGAAGTTGGGCCTTTAACTCCCTTAACTCAGCTGGGGCCATTCGATAAGGTGGAATGGAAATAGGGCGAGTCCCCGGCTCCAAGTCGATACAAAAATCAATATCTCTATCTAGTGGCATACCAGGTAGGTCGGAAGGAAAAACATCTGTAAACTCACGGACTATCGAAACAGACTCGATTGAAGGCACTTTGGAAGTATCATCCCTGAGATGTGCCAAAAAGGCTAAGCAACCCTTACTCACCAACCTCTTAGCATGAAGACAAGAGATAATACGAACTGGGGCGGGAATATAGTCACCCTCCCACACTAGTGGATCTATCCCAGGCTTGGCCAAGGTCACAGTCTTAGCATTACAATCTAAGATAGCAAAATTTGGAGAAAGCCAAGTCATACCCAAAATTACATCAAAATCAACCATCTCTAGAATAATCAGATCTACATAAGTCTCACCCCCCACAAAAGTCACAAGGCAAGACCTATACACTTTTTCCACTATCACAGACTCACCAACAGGAGTAGAGACACGAATAGGCATGTCAAGCAAATCACAATGCAAATCAAGACCAGTAGCGAACGAGGACGATACATAAGAAAATGTGGATCCAGGATCAAACAATATAGAAGCCATGCGATCGCAGACCAGAAGAGTACCTGTGATAACAGCATCAGATGTCTCTGCCTCTGACCTCCCGGGGAAAGCATAACAATGGGCCCTATCACCTGTCTGTCCATTGCCTCTGCCGGGCTGCGCTCCAGTAGTTCCAACCTGCCCGCCACCCCGGTTGAACTGGTGACCACCATTACCTTGGCCACCACGTCCTCCAGAATGACGGCCTCTACCATGACCACCTCTACCTCTAACTGCTGGGGATCTATAACTCTGATCGTACCGAGCCTGACTCTGCTTTGGACAATATTTCTTGATATGTCCGGCCTCTCCACATCCATAACAAGTCCTAGAGTCGAGGGTAGGTCTCTGTGAAGACGAAGAAGACTGGAGGTAACCCCCAAACTCAGAAAAAGGTTGACTGGTCCGCAACGGACCCTCAACTGAAGCCTGCAATGAAGACTGAATAGCACGGGGTGGATAGCCCCCTGAACTCTGCCCTCTGGAGTACGAACCGCTAAACTCACCTCCCTTACGAAACTTTTTAAATGTTGACACCTTGGTGAAGTCATCTGGCTTCACCCCCTCTACCTCTATCACAAAATCAGTCACTTCCTGAAAAGATTTTGCAGAAGCAGCTACCTGTAAAGCTGGGATCTGCAAATCTGACCTCAATCCCTTTACAAAGCGGCGAATCCGCTCTTGCAGACTGAAGCAAAGCTGAGTGGCATACCTGGATAACGCACGAAATTTAGCCTCATAAGCTGCAACAGACATCCTTCCTTGCTCTATGTTCAGGAACTCATCTCTCCTTCTGTCCCTCAAAGTCCGGGGTATGTACTTCTCCATAAATAAGCTAGAAAATGATGTCCAAGTCATAGGTGGTGCCTTTGCTGGTCGACACTCCACATGAGACCGCCACCACATTTTGGCATCCCCTTGAAATTGGTAGGTCACAAACTCAACACCGAATCGCTCCACTATGTCCATCTTATGTAACAACTCATGACAATCAACCAGGAAATCATAAGCATCTTCAGATTCAGTACCCTTGAAAAATGGAGGTTTCAACTTTAAGAACTTAATAAAAAGATCATGTTGGTCACTAGTCATTATAGGCCCTGTAGTCAATCGGGGAAACGTGCCTGTTTCCAAGGACGCATCCATGCGAGGAGCCACATCGGCTGCATGTTGTACTCCCTGAACTTGAGGTGCTAGTGAAGAAAATACTGGGGGTGCCTGTCCCTGATCAGATAACCCGCTAAGATAAGTGAGAACCTGATTAATCATCTCTGGAGTAGGCTGGGGTGGTACTTCCTTCTCTTGAATCTGCTCATCTTCCCCTTCGTCACTCTCTCTCACTACCTCGTCAGTCGGTGGATGAGTCACCACTCTATCCCTAGCTGGACCAGGTGTTTGTCCTCTGCCTCTAGTGGGCCTTCTCCCGCGACCTCTACCACGACCTCTTGCCACTGCTCCCCTTCGAGCTGCATCCCCAACGGTTGGCTCAGGCGTACCCTGTCTTACCGGTGTTGGTGTTGTCACACCTGTTGCTCTAGTTCTGACCATCTGCGAGATAGAGTGAAGAAGGTCAGATACCAATTTGTATCAACCAGATACCAATTGGATTTAAGTAATAGCAGAAAGAAAGAAAAATGTGAGTTTTCCTAAAGTCCTATAGCCTCTTGAAGAAAAGTAAAGGCGTCCCCGTACCGTTCCGCAAGACTCTACTAGACCTGTCCTTGTGTGATGAGATCATCGAACCTGGCTCTGATACCAAGTTTGTCACGACCCAAATTGAGTCGTGAGTGGCACCCACACTTAACCTCCTAAGTGGGCGGACCAAGGAATCTAAACCCCAACATATTCCAATAATTCAACTACGAATAACAACAATAACGCGGAAACTCCAAAACTTATTAAAGTAACCAATCAAATAAACCTCTAAAGTCTATTACATATTATCCCCAAAATCTGAAAGTCATCACATCAAGGACATCTGTTCTTAACATATCAAGTCTAAAAGTATTAGAGACCCTAAAATAAGTAAATACGTTGGTCCATGTCCGAAAACCAAGGACATCACACCATAACTGAGAGAATCCAGCACGAGCTAGAAGGAATAGCTCACCCTGAAATCTGATGTGCGGGAGACTGGCTAGAGCTGAGGGCGAGTCGAAGTCGATGGTACACTTGCTGCACTCCACAAAAGAAAAACGCAGAAAACACAAGTAGGAGTCAGTACAAGGAACACGTACTGAGTAGGTATCATCGGCCAACCCAAAATAGAAACTAATATACAATGAGTAATAGTATAAAGTCAACTATAGCACTTAGCAGGTGATAAGAAACCACAACATGAACAAGTAACAGTTGAAGCAAGTACGTAATCAATCACAATATCAAGCACACACACGAGGACTCATGCCTCTACATCACACCCGTTTGGGAAATGCGTTCATTGAGATTGAGTACATTAAGTTAATTCAATATCTTTTTCCTTTAAGGTTACCGTGTCGGAACGTGACACTCCGATCCAAAAATACCGTGTCGGAACGTGACACTCCGATCCAATAATATTATTAATTTATCATTTATTATCACTACTTTTCAGTTCATTAATAATATTACATCAAGCCTTCTTTATTCAAGGCATAACTTCAATAGAGAGGTGTTCAGATTATAAATCCCACGGTCTCAGGATTTTAGACCAATCACAACCACACAATCAAGCCACACAATCACACAGTCAAGTACATAGAGAACTTCACAATATCAGTCAATGCATATCAATCGCTATTAAGAGTTTATCTATCAAATAGAACAAACCATAACCTACCTCCACCGAAGAACCGAAGTCAAGCAAACTACTTCTCCAATGCTTTTCCCTTCCTCAATGCCTCCGAACCTTTCCAATCTATCAAATATATATGCATAATTTGTAAGTTAACAAGCCTATAAACACTCATATTATTCTATGTCCCTCCTATATCCAAAAACTCACCTAATTCTATAATCAATTTCCTAAAGTTCAAACCTATGTGTAAGTCTTAATTCCTCCCATTAGCATATCTCTAATGGAATTTAAATAATTCGATGCACCTAATATTTAATAATATCTATCTCAATATATCTAAATTTAAATTATAATGTGACAATAATAAGAACAATTGAAAATCGGAAACTCACTGGTTTGCGAAACCAGTAGCATACTACGGAAATAAATCATAGAACTACCCTTCCAATCTATGTGTGTTATCACACCATGATCATTATCCAATGATTATATCATGGATACTTTTGAGCATATATTCCCCAAATTCACAAGGATCACAAGTAGCCGTAAGAAAATTATTGAATTTAACATCACAATTTCTAATTCTCTTCTTTAATTCTTTCCACTCAACTTTAATACTATAATAATGTCTTTTATCCCTAATTTCCTATGCACAACCATAATATAATAATAATATTAATATTAATCTGCAACAACTACATCTACAACCCAAAGCCGCCACCACTCAACTTGCACTACATTTTATCCCTATATATTTGATATTGCACCACATGCAAACGCCTAATGGTAACTCTAAACCA